GAAGCAAGGACAGATGATGGCACTCTGGCTGCTAAGCCTGAGAAGCCCAGAAGCCCCTGGGGGAGGCGACAGCAGGAGAGTGGGTGTTACAGCCTCATGCCACCAGAGGTCCAGGCACTGGGCCATCCCGGACACCAGGCTCTCCAAAGATGGTCACACCTGCAGGAGGGGCAGGGACAAGGTGCTGGGAAGGGATGGGGAATTGGTTACCAGGCTGCTATCCTGGGGAACAGTGGGGTGAGGACTTCTTGGGTGAAGATGAACCAAGCGATGGCCATGAGGCTTCCAGCAATACCCCCATAGAGTACCTGGCTCCAGGTGTGGTACAGCAGGTAGACCCTGTGATAAGGCCAGAAGGGAAATTCATGAGAACCAACCAGGGATGGGCTTACACGATAGCCCTCCCCAAGGGCCAGTTCCTTGGCCCCTGGGTGTGCAGATGTGAAGACTCAAATGGAAGAGGCACTTTCAGAATTGCAGCAGGGATGCAGGGGCAGCCCATGCATCTCCAGACCTGCCTCCTTCCTGGCCAGTGCTTAAACTGGAGCCTGTCTTCAAGGGTGCACTCCTCCTATCCCCGCCCCACCAGGAAGCTGGGGACAAATGGTTAATACAAGAAGCTGCTGTTGCAGCTTACCCTGCTGTTAGACAGGGCAGCTGGAGCCTCTGGGGCCCAGGGGCCACAGAGACTGTTCAAAAGAGACCAAGATCCTAGCAGGACCCCAGTGGGCAGGCTGCAGGATGAGGCTCCTCCCTTCATACCTGCTATAAGAGACGAGAAAGGCTGCAGTGAGGAGCCCCAGGGAGAGCAGGTGCCTCCACAGCAAGTCCAAGAACCTGGCTTTATTTGTCTGGTGCATTCTGGAAAAAGAGGTACATCAGATAGTCTCAGCCCACAGCCTGAACAAGGGCCTCCCAACAGCCCCCGGCAGGGGTGGGGGTGGGGCAAGAAGCTCACCTTAAATACAGGAACAGGAAGGAATAGACAGAGAAGAACCACATAAACTGGGAGTGGCTGGAGGGCATCCCGTACTTAGTGCCCACTGCCGTGTGTGGGCCTGGGGGAGAAGAAAAGAACAGGGCATCATGGGAGGACATGGGCTTCCTCATAATGTCCAACATGAAGCCCTGGGTCCTTGAACTCCCAGCCCTACCTCCACAGGGCCGAGGCTCCTGGATGACGTGTTTGATCAGCCAGTTGACACCTTCATTGAGTCCCAGGCCCCCGAGGAATGAAATCTGCTGGGAAAAATGGGCACTCGGTTGGGCCTCTGCATACCTTCTGGCTGCCACCCAATCCCCATGATCATGGCCTCTGATTGGACAGCTCAAACCATGAGTAAACAACTAGGAGACCCTATAACCTTTGCAGACCAAAAGAGGGTTCTGGGCAAAAAAGACTGAAAGAGGGTGGGGCCGGAACTTACCGTGTGTAGCTCCCGCTTGAATATGATGAGGGTCAAAAAACCAACAATAACAAAGATAGGGCTGAGGCTCAGGTAGGCAAGGATGTGGCCAAAGAGATCACCTGTAGGGACAGAGGAACAGGATGAGACAGGGCATGAGTATCAGAAGAGGGGTCAGTTCTCTGAAAGTCAGCAGGGCCTAACAAAAGAGGAGGTCCCAGAGTGCAGGGCCACAGCCATGGACCCTGGTTGATGAAAGGGGTGCATCACCAACCAGGAAAGACCACACTCCATGAGTTTTGAGAAGGTGCCTCTTTGCCCCCATCTTACAGAAGGAACTAAGTCTCAGCATGGCTATGTGCCTTGCTCAAGCAGCATAACCTGAGAGAGGTGGAACCTGGATGAACCCCAGTCTCTGGCCCAGTGTATGGGGGTCTAGAGACCATACACATTGCTCTGTCAGAGGGGGAGTCTGAACCCCAAGGTCCAACATGCTGCACATGTCTGGGCTGCAGTTGGGGCTGGGTCTTCTGGAGAAGTCTGTGCTCTTCCAGACACCAGATACAGAGAGAGGCACTCAGGAGACTCCAGTGGAGCCAGCTCAAAGTGGCCACCCACAAAGTCAACAGATTCTCAGAGCCTTGCCGCAATAAGACATTGGTTTTTCCACTCCCGTTAAAGACTGGATGGACCAGGTGAGGACCACTGGCCTCTCTGAGGGTCAGAGGCTGATGCTAAGAGTACAGTCATGGTCCCTTGCTCACAGGCAAGGCTCCAAAGGCCACTCACCATGTAGACAAAGTGGCTGACTAAGGAACCATCATTCACTTCCTGTAGCAGCCTGAGCTGCTTGCAGGAACTCAGGTAAGGACTTTACCTCCCTAGACCACCACAGTCTCTCCTGTGTGTGTGTGTGGGGGGGGCATCTTCCCCACAGCTGAGAAGAAGCGGTGTAAAAATGCCTAGCATGGTCTCTGTCACACAGGGCACTCCCACAATGGGGCTCACAGAGGCTGGGGGTACCCAGTATGGGAAATGGCACATTGCAGCAGCCTGGCCTTATACAAGCAGGCAGGTTCCCACAGAGGGCAGAGAGAAGATTCCAGGCCTTAAGAAATAGATGCACATATTCCTTACCTGACTTAAGTTGGCCAGTAACCCAAGTTCAAAGTCTCATGCTGCCATGGTCCCACTAGGGAATACTGAGTGAGTGCCCACCCTTCTCTGAGCCCATGTCTCCCCAGGCCTGAGGTTCTGACACTCACAACTCAAATGGTAATGGCTGGGCCATGAAAACAGGGCATGGCAAGGGCCCCTGAACCTCTGACCAAATCCTCAGGTTGCCTTACAGCAAGCAAGACCTTCAGGCTCCCTGTACCCACTGCTAGGGACCCTGACCACCCTTCCCCTGTCCTCGGGAAGCGTTTTCTTAGGCCCCACCTACCAGGCTCTGCACAGTCCTGGCCCACTTCCCCCCAGCCTCTGCTCCAGTTGCAGGACGGAACTCCAGGTCCCCGAGCACACTGTGCTGTCCTACTTCTGCACCTATGCACACGTGGGCTCCTCCACCTAGGCTGTGGCCTAGGGGAACTCAACAAACCAAGCCAAGACCCAGCACAGCCCCAGACCCCACAAAGCCCTCAGCCTGAGGCAGGCCTGCGACTGGGCCAAGGCTCATGAGCCACTAGTTAGATCGGTAGCTGGGGGTGGGCGCCTCTCTCTGCACGCTTACACTTCAGGTCTCATGAGGGTAGTGACCATGTCTCCGCACCCCACTATCCTCTGAGTGGAGCAATGTATGACACCCCACAGGGATCAGACACCAAGTTAAACAGGTAAAGGGAGCGTGTTCAGTATATAGAGGGGTGGGTATGTAGAGTAGGGGTTCCCGGGGGTGCGGAGGGCTGGACTTCACCAGATGCGCCAGGCTCAACCACGGGCATCACACAAGGCCTGCACATGTCATGGTGTTCTCAGTGGCAGCTGCCTTCTCATCTGTAAGGTCTCGAGCCCTCCAAGAAGCTACTCTGAAGCCAGGGAGGGAAAGTCAGGAAGGTGTGGAGTCCTCAACCAAGTCTCTCCCCTTCTCCAGGCCTGGTTTCCCTCCTCTGCAACAGAGACTTTCCACAGAGCAAGAGTGCAAGGCCTTCGCCATTCCAAACCCAGAGCCGGCTCAAGGCCTAGCCCTTGGGAGATGCGAGGCGATGCAGAATGAATGAATGAGTGGATGGATGGATGGTGAACGGGCCCGACCCTGGGTGGAACTGCCACACCTTAAGTATAGCCAGCACACCCAGAGCCAAAGTTCTCCCTGCCTGTGGGCCTGTGCTCTCCCTTCCCTGAGTCAGAGGTCAGCAAGGGGCCCCCAGGTGCTCAGCAACCAACATCTACCCAGGGAGGGTGCTACCAAGCTAGATAGCAACTACAGGTAATTTCCTGAGTGCTCGCCACAGCGAACAGGCTAGGCCCTGTGCCAGCACCTCTCAGGTCTGTGCTCATTGAGGCACACGGCATTACAGAAAGGAGACACTGTTCTTGAGCCACTTAGAAGATGAGGTGACGGGAGTGGTGGCGCCTCCGCCCCCCCCCCCCCCCCCCCCCCCCCCCCC